TGGTCGTAACCCGAAAAGTTCATTAACAGAGGCGTTTGTAACCCGAGGTACCACTGTATTTATTTTCTGCTGCAGTCCATGGAGGCTGATAATAAAAGTAATAGTGAAAAAATGTAGCCCCTGGCCAAAAATGTGTGCTTGCTCCTGACATGGATCATACAAATGCCTGACAGTGCAATCTTTTCCTTGGCAAAGCCTAAGCTAGGTTTGCTGTTTTCATGAAAAAGGTGGAATATACAAAAAGTCAGGTTTACATAACCTGACAGTGCAAATCACTTTCCTTCTTTGGCCTTTTGCTGCTACAACAAGGGCGATTAGACGTTTCTCACCATATTCTTGCCACAGCATTTACCTTAGCTCACCATGTGAACCCTTTTGCTATACCAAAGTGGGGTGTTAGTGCTGGAGGACCTGTCCTATCCAATTGCTCCTTCTTCAGTGGTGGCATGAGCCTCATATTTAGCTGCTAAGGGCAAGAACAAAGGGAGAAAGCAGGGAAAATAGTTCCGCTTCATCTAGCTTTACCCAAAACTGGGTAGAACTTCCCTGTTTTGGTGAGCTTTAAAAGATGAAATTGATGCTTTAAGCACATGGAAACCTTAAGGCACCAATTTCTCTCCTTAAATCCCTAACAAAAATATTATGTTGGCAATTTTTAGCCCTGCCCAAAATTTGCTCAGGCAAGGCAGGAGTGTGACCAACCTAGGCTGGAAAAGTTTGCCTAGCCATTATGTACATCGTACCCAGATTTAAAACATTTTTATTAAGGATAATTTTTAAAAAGAGTTCCTTTTCTTTCTCCTACATTTAGGCAGTAACTGAACTTCTTGCTGGTGGAGCTGATCCAAATCTCCCTTTAAGCCAAGGTATTGGAAGTGCTTTGTGTGCTGTTATTAACCCTGCATATGAACGGAATGGGACATTAGCAAATAAGATGGCACTGGTAAGAAAAGTCTTGAATATTTGGTTACTCTTTTCCAAATAGAGACTCTATAAACTTCCCTAACCCCCTGCCACCCCTTCATGGATCACTGCCTTGTCGTGGCGAAGGGGCTTGCGTAACTCAGTGAAGC